CTTTCCCAGAGGAGAGCTACAGTAGCTCTATCTGGTGGGGAGGCAGCCATGTACTATTGCTGCTCTGCCCTTCCCTGAGCTCACTTCCATACCCATTGGCATGGCCCTTCATGCCAGCAACATCACCACATATTCCCATATCTCCCTCAAACTCTTGTATCTTGCCCCCTTTCCCTAGATCAGGACCACCACTCACTCCCACTGCCACTTAGACTTTGGATCACTCTCTTGGTTCCCCTCGGTACTTTGGTCTGCTCTCCCTACAGCCTGATCCTTCTCACTTCGTAGGGGACTGGTATGCAAGTACCTATTATGGAAAGCACACTAGAGAGCTTGAGTCAGGAAAGTGCTAGCGTGCTTGCTGTAATGAGTGCTGAAAACAGTCCGGTTTTGTTTACACTAATGTCCAAACAATTTTCAACACAGTCCACCAAATTTTCCTACTCTAGTGACAAAGCGTGTTCTGCCATGAGCAATCATATCAGCAAGAGTCGCTCTTATGCTGGAGTAAGGAAAACAATGACAAGAACAAAACTGAAGTTTCCACACGGGAGCTCATATGTGAGGCTCATCTGTAAAGTACAGCAACTCTGAGAACAAAGTGACTGTTTTCTGCACAGAGGCAGTGTTCCAGAGATTTAAAGGTACGATGCACAGAAGAAAGGGCAGAATAATTTCAAGCTGCATATACCACAGACTGGATCTAGAGGTGCCATTCTCTGGGGGAAATGAACTTCTAACTATATAATCACCTAGAAAAATTCTTTCAGGAAATGATCCCATTTCATTTTTTTTAAAGCATAGGTAAAATCCCAAGTGACTTGACTAATGTTTTCTCTTTAAGTTTTTAAAGTTAGGTACATGCTTACATACCTTGCTGAATCAAGACTTAGGCAGATTCAGTTTTGTCACCTCAAGCTTATTCATTGAACAAATTTCCTCTGGAGCTAGTTGCAAATCTGGGAATTGCTAGATTAGTCTTCATAAAAGATAGAAACAGTGGCAGCAGAAAGCTCTTTCGAAGTAAAGGAAGGCAAAGAGTGTGAATTAAATGATACACACTTCAACCTTTTCCTTTCAAAGTGAAAGGAGAGCTTCAGAGTATTTCCTGGGGGAAGAATATCACATTTAGAGGTGTGCTGCCTTTACAAACAATGGATGCAAAATTCCCTAAAAGTCATGCATTTCCAGCTCCAAGAAGTCAGTTATTGGCACATGGGACCCCATGGTTCTAGCTCATTGACTCTTTGATTTCTCAATTCAGACTACACGCAAGTTGTAAATTCATTTGCCACAGAGAACAGTCACAGTAGATAGGATCAAGGAAGCTTTTCCGGATCATGTTATTGTTTCACATGCATATGAGTAATTCCTGCAAAGGAGGAACCATGAACTTGTATAACTTATTTATCGCACAGCCTAGAGAATGATCATTGTCAGGGGTGGTTTCATTTCATAAATGTTTATTGGATTTTTCACATGAGAAATTGTTTTCTTTATGGCAGCTCCTCTCTCCCTCCCATCATGTTTACAGTCCCTTTGCAGCTTTTAGCTGAGTCCGGTAGGTCAGGAACACTTCACATTGCTCCTGAGCTATTGCCCCCTGGCCAGCCCACAAAGGGGGAAATGGAAGAAATCCCTAAGGCATCTGAGGCACACACAGTATTCATGCAAAACAATAAGACTCGCATACAACATGACAAGGAGGAGGAGAATCCCACTTTGTCACAGTTTTCCTGTGCATTGCACCAAAGCCTAGATGGTGGGAGTAAGGGTGTTACTCTTACTGAGGCTCTCAGGGGAAGGGGAAGCTGCCCACCTGCCTGCACAAGATGGTGGCCTTTCTAACCTGAGAACCAGGAGGGAGATGAGGTCAGGTGACACTTTGCCCAGAAACAGGGCCAGCTCGAGCCATTCCTATGCCCTGGGCAGCAGGCGCACGATGCATGCGTGGCTCTGCCTCCGGGCCCATGGCACATGCACGGCCCTCTCCCTCCCCCCCCCGGCGCGCTGTGCACGTTACAGCTGCAATCAGGCATGTGGCGCCTGATGGCAGCTCTAAGGGGCGTTGCACGGACAGGCACGCGGTGCCCCTTACAGCTGCCATCAGATGCCCCCCATAGGTTGGCGCCCCGGGCAGCTGCCCAGCTAGCCCATGCCTTAATCCGGCCCTGCCCACAAAGCAAGGCCAAAAACTGGAGGAGGGGCTATGGGCATGTTGGAGTCCAGGAGACTGGCTGGGTCTAGTCAGTCCCCTGTTTGGGACTCGGAGTGAGGGGGTTTAGTGGCACCAGGCACTTGGTCCCCCCAAGCAAACTCTGTTCTGTGCTGTGTTCCTGTCAGCGAATAAACCCTTTGTTTTCAGGGTTGCCAGGTGTCTGGTATTCACCCGGACAGTCTGGTATTTTCACCTCCTGTCCAGTAAAAAAATTCAGAAAATACGGGACATCTAAAATGTCCGGTATTTTCTGAATTTTTCCAGGCCAGGAGGTGAAAATCA